TTGGGCATTTAAAACAGAAATGAAGCCAAGAGCACATGGCTAATTTGCATAGACAAACAAAAATGCAGCTCATATAATACAACGCTTTATATCATTGCTTTTCATTATGGCACTACTAAGTATGCCCATAAGATTACATTACATTTATACATTAAACACATTATATACACATTGTAGTTGGCCTGGCAGTTTTTTTGAATATTTAAGCTACATGACTAAAACAGGAATGTATTTTCTTGACAGAAGATGTGTGTAATGTTTTTGACTCTCATAATAGAATGTTCCACAGTATGGCATTGGGCTTATCTATCTCCATGGAAATAAGCAAGTGGCACCACCAGGCCAAGTTGCAGGTCAGATCTATGGACATGTAATCCCTGCTCACAACAATAATCTATGTTTTTCATAGTATCTGTATAGGCAATAACATGTATTTATATATCTAGCATCTTCTTGAATAAAAGCTATTTTAATGCCCTACTTTTAAACATTTAGATAAAGCAATACAATTTATTATTACTGGCCAGTGGGCAGCCCCTATCTATAGCATATAGTTAAACAACTATGTAAACTGTTTCAATTGCCAACCAGAAGGAAATCGAAGAAGCATTCACCATGGATAATTATAATTTTGTTGTAATTACTCTCTTACCTCCTTGCATTGCCTACCTTATCACTCTTAAATACATTTGTTCACAGCTTTTGTCGTCCTTGCTTTAGCCTCAGACACTCCTTCCTGTTTATATGCATTACTGCGAGCGTGCACGTGTCTGCGGGCGTGCACGTGTGTCCTCTATGCTGTGTGCCCTTCAGAGTGGAGCTGGTGATTGTCATTTCTGTCATGTCGGTCCGAACACTTTGGTAGTCAGCTCTGGTTTGAGCAGATGGGCACGGTGCCAGTTCATTACTAAACCTGGGTCTACTGCTTCTATCAGGCTATAACAGATAAACCAGGACTCAGAGGCAAAGAGGTGTGTCATAAACTTAAGTGAGATTATGGTAATGTTAAAATATGGGTTGTGCAATTAATCACATTTTCATCAAGATTCATCTTATTATTTTTTTATCAAGGGCTCCAAGACGATCTTTTATCAATAGAACCGTGTATTTGGAGCGAGTTTAGACATTAGAGGAACAATCTGAGGAACAGATGAAAAGTTTGTATTGTTTATGTTTAGGAAATTCATGTTGAAAGCTTAGACTGTATAAAGAAGTGGACTAAATGAGTGTGACGTCACCCACCACTTAAATGAGGCTCATGATGTTTGCGGCTACAGGGGCGAATTTAGAGCCAGGCTCCATATTATGAATAGAATTTTTTTACCGGACAAAATAGAGGAACAAAAAATTATATAATAGTAGTAAGTAGTAAGTGGTAGTAATATAGTGTACATAATAGCATGCATGTTAGAATGTACAGAAGTGTAAGATTTTCATATGGCAATCATAGACAGTATAAAGAAGTCGACTAAGGGAGTTGGACATCACCCATAGTGTTCTACTTCAGTCAAATGAAGCTTGGGATGCTAGTGGTTATAAGGGCGAATTTGGAGCCAGGTCTATATTTGGAATAGAAATGTATTAATAGACAAAATAGCTAAATAAAAACACCAGGATCATGTAGAGTGGGTTAATACAAACATTTTAAGACCAAAATGAGAAGAGGAGTCACAATATTCCAATGTAATCAATGGGAGCCTGGGTCAGTAGTAGGAAGAGCTACTATTTCAAATGCGGCGGTTAGTGCAGTAGCTATGTCCATTTATATATACAGTCTATGACATTAATTCATTTACAGATGGCTTTACAGCTCAAGATTGTGCCTCTCCACATTTCTGACCTGTAACTTGGTCTGGTTTGGTCTTCATGAAGACAGAAAGGTTTACTACTTCTATTAATTAATAATAATAATTCTGTAAAACATTCCAGACAAAGCAATAGCATCTTCGTGAGGAAAAGTTTTTGATGGACCCTCCACCAGAAAAGTTACACAACGTGCCTTTAATTTAAAAAATCATAAAATCATGATTGATCAATGTGATGATTTTTAGCCTGTATCCCAACGGTCATTTATGTAATCTTCCCCTCAGCAGCAGAACTATTTACTCTCTCAGCCTCTCCATCTCCTCCTCTTCACCAGTCTGTAGTGTGACATTTGCCATAATAAATCTTAATTAAATTTCTTTACCTGCTATTGTTTGAACACCAACAGCATACTTGTATGATGGCTTTTCTGATTTTTTATTGTTAATTTTTTGGGCAGAAAGGCATTTTGTGTGAAGACAACAAAGCTTGTTTGATGTTTTTTTCTATTTGTAGCTATACAGAGGTGTATACTTGAATACTGTATGTTCAGGATTAAACACATTTGAATCAAAATATTATTATTCTATGCTATTATTTCATTATTTCTCTTGTTTAAAATGTGCACTGTGAACTGAATCCTACCAAATCTAATCACAATTGCTTCCTTGTCAGAATCACAATTACATTTTCTTGTTCAGCTCTAATGTTCATTGATTATAGATTTTACACGAAATCCAAATTCTGCCCATTTGGGACGTTACAGGATTAAATTGCAATGCATTTCTTTTTGCTGCCAGTTTAACCCAAATCAAAATCCCTCTTTGTGAGTCTGCTGGTGTCTGTCTGGTAACTTTAACACCTCTGCGGGTTTGGCCTTCATTGACTGTGGCTGTACATTCACTGCATGGGTGTCTGTCTGCGGTTTGTTTATGTCATTATAATTGAGCTAATAGAGCCACAGCGACCACAGGCAAAAATCAAAGCTCTTTTTTCAATCTCTAGAGCTTCATAATACTGTGTAAACAAATGCTGGCTTATACTTGCCCAATAAACTTTTCGATTTAATTGAATTGCAGTTTGTAAAAGCACCAGCAGCCTCTAATTCAAGCGTGATTCATTTTCATAATCGTTTGGTAAAGTTTATTGGTTTGGGAATTGGGCTGTTGTAAATATTGTTTTACATAGTATTATAGGCTATTTCGTATCTTTTCTGGTGCGGTGTCCACTACGTACTTGTATCCATGGAGATGTTGTTACTTTGCCTGGAATGTCCCATGGTATGACATGAAACTTATATATGTAACATTTATTAATTATGGGTGTTTTTATTACTCAATAATACATTAATTCCTTAATATATATTAATATACATTAATATAGCATAGGCCGTGGAATTTAAAGCTGTAATATTTAACATTTGGGGGGAAGGGTCATCTCTCTGGTATTATTTAATTGAATTATTTAAGTGAATTTAGAACAAAACAAAAAATACTTGAAAAACATGCATTCTTCTTGTTAGTGGGGGTTGTCTCTCTACAGACTTAACCCATGACTTGGCCTGGTGGTACTACCTTTTCGTCTCCATGGAGATATATATACATTTAATGCCATACTATAGAACATTGCAGGCAAAGCAGTTACACTTTCATGAAGACATACACTAGCTGACCCTCCACCAGAAAAGTTATAGTGCTCTATTAAACTTGGACTCTCTTGCTGTGAGGCCCAAATACAAACCAGTCATCCACCATCGTTCTTATATTTCTAATTTCTGTCTTTTCCATCTTATTTTCTTTATAACATCCTGCTATTTTCCTCAACATTTTAACTTTCTCCTCACTCATCACCAGTCATCTCTGCTTCTCCTCTTCACTCCTTAGCCAGTCAGTCTCCTACTCCAGCCTCCAAACAGCCAACAGTCACGCGGCTGCTATCACATTATAATGAGATTGGGAGCACACCCCAACAGAAAGAAGCCATTTTCTACAGCTGACAACTTATTATCAAGGAGGTCTGACTTTCCCTGCCGCTCCAAAATCCAGTGGAGGAGATGGGGGGTTTGGGGGCAACCTTATTTACATTTTGAGTGTTTTCTCTTTACCAGTCTCTCATGCCTCTTGCTGGTTTTGGTGCGGTCACTAGTGCAGTCCCAAAGAAGCCCTTTCACACTTGATGTTCCTCTTAAAATTTTAAAAAGCAGCGTGTAGGGCTTTCTGGACCAGTGCGCCTCTGAAATGCATTATGCTGCTGCTGGTGGTTTTGAGTACCTCTTGGAGTCACCATGTTTGGTGTTTGTCCTCATTACTATTTATATGAACTGGTCTAGATTATGTACGATGCTTTTTATGTGCATACTATAAAAATACCTTTACTAGAGAGAAACTTTTGAAGGAAAAAGTTTTGTTTCAGAGGCAACATTAAAGGTGCACTATGCAACTTTTCTGGTAGACGGTCTGCCATCTTCTTAGAGATATTATATATCGCTTTGCCTGGAGTGTTCCACAGTAACATTAAAATTATCTATCCATGTCACAAATCCAAGTTACAGGTCAGATCAGTGAAGAGGCTACCCCTCTTACAGTCAGAATGCAAATTTTGTAAGCCATTTTTCATTGATAGAAAACCTTTAATTGAATAAATGCAAAATAGATAAGGCCATATTTTGGAACATTCCAGGCAAAGCAACATCATCTCTATGGACAAAAAAAGCAGTAGTTTCTGATTTAAAGGTGCACTATATTAAATGTAACATTTTTGATGAAGGGTCTGCCACTTGCTTCTACTGAGATGTTATTGCTTTACCTTGAAGGTTCCAAGGTGTGGCATTAAACATTTTTCTAGCATGTTATATTACTTTGAAAAACATATTTTCTAGATAGATATGTTGAATGCCATACTATGGAATATTCCAGACAGAGCAATATCATCTTCATGGGGACAAGCAGGTGATGAAGCCTCTACCAGAAAAAAATACATAGTGCACCTTTAATTCAGTAAGTGGAAATTGGTTATGTAAAAGATATTGTACTTTAGTCATCTACAACTCAGTTTCCAGATGTTAGACTGATGTGCATTCTTCAATCTAACATCTCTTTCCCCTGATGTTTGTAACACCACATGAATGCAGTGGATCTATGGTTGGGTGGGGTTAAGCTCTGACTCACCACTTATTTGTGTGTTTTTTCTCTCCACAGGCAATCTGGAGGAGCAGTCATCAAGAACAGGTAGGCTCCACTGTGAAGAGACAGACGTGTGCATGTGCAGACAGGAGCAGAACAAAGGCTCACAGATATAACACTGAATTTTAATCAATCTCACTCGTTAACAGTCGAGAAAACACAGTGCATAGATTGTCGTCGACACTGTAAAATGTGTTACAGGCTCCAACTGTATTTCCTGTCAGTCAACTGTTCTCCAATTAGCGCTTTTACTGCACAGGTATTCTGAACAGGTGGTGGTCTTCTTTGCACACCTGCCTATCACTGAGAGACATGGGACGATATTGAAACTTGTGTCAGAAAAGTCAAAAGTAATATGAAGATAATTCTTTAAATAGATGAAAGTTTAATAGATAAGAGTTTTAATAACATACCTGACAGTTTGGAGTGAACTTCTATAACATACTGAATCAGAAAATAGTGTAATGTGGGCCCTTTAATTTTATGGCTTAATCCATTTAACTGACAACAATCATGTCTTTGGGGTTGAGAAATGGTTGCCAAAAATATATATATTAAATTTTTATTGATTATGCTGACAGAGAAGATGTCAAACTTTGTGCTTGTTTTGGTTTGTATCTAGGCTTAGTAACTACAGATAAATTATTATGTACGATATACCAGGTCAACAAATTTGACAGTTTAAAGACAGACTTCAGCATTGAATTTTGACCAGTCGTCTATCTCCACTTTAAACTATAGGCTTTCTAAAATACTATTTCCAATCATATACAGCAAGCTACCTGCAACCTGTTACTTGAATAATGGAAAAGCACTGGTTTAACATTAAAAAACACATGTACATTTGTTTCGTCATTGTGCTTTCAGTCTTGGTGAGGAGTTTTATAAGGAGGCGATAGAACACTGCCGCAGTTATAATGCCCGCCTGTGTGCCGAGCGCTCCATGCGGCTGCCCTTCCTGGACTCTCAGACTGGAGTCGCCCAGAGCAACTGCTACATCTGGATGGAGAAGAACCACCGCGGGCCCGGTACGGTCCTCTAGGGTCCTCCTGTGTGTGTGAGCGGGTTTATAAGGACAAGTGTGGACTCTAACCTGTTCAGACAGTCAGACTAGTTTTCTTATTTGGAATCAACAGTTGCACTATTTCTTTTGCATTTATTTATCTTAAACATGCACAATGTACATTTTTTCCTAGAGGGTCTGCCATCTGCTTGTCTCAGGTGTTACTGTTTTGTTGGAAAATTCCACAGTATGTCATTACAGTATCTCTATCCATAGACAGGTTATGCCACCAGGCAGAGTTGCAGATCAGATCTGCGGAGAGGCAACCCCACTGCACGCATGTTTGTCAATGTATTTTAGCAATATGAACTCACAAGATATGTTTAATGCCATACTGGAACATTTCAGACAAAGTAAAAAAAATATCTCCCTAGTGCCAAGAGTGAAAAGAAGGTAGCAGCTCCTCACCAGAAAAGATACATAGTGCACCTTTAAATTTATTTTTGGCATATATAGACTTCATTATCAAATGTTAGCAGGAAAACAAGATGAAGTGTGGGGAGATACATTCAGCAAATAAGAATGTGGCTAACCCTTAACCCTGATAAGATAAGGACCGTGATATCATGTAGGACAGCACAGCAACATGTTTTAGAGACGTGATCCTTACATGCTGTTTTATTCTGGGGCAGTTGGAGTGTGTTCGGCCTCATCTTAAACTCAAAATTTGGTTTACCCCAAGACCTGGATGGGTACTATAGAGTAAGTTTATTGCTGGTGATACTGAAAGCTAATAAAGAGAATCAATGTTTTCAATTTTAAAGGTTAGATATAGTTCAGCCAGGTTTGTTTGGATAGCAGTAAATCGGGTGTATGGATATAGTGAGTAAATTAATTGAGTCAATGCAATGTCCCTACAATACACATAAAGCCAATATGTGTGTATGTTGTTTACCTGCTGCGTGTTATACGGGGAGAGGGGAGGAGCCCAAATCACTAGAGTGAAGAGGAGGAGAGGGGCAGACAGCTGCTGTGGTCTCAGATGATTCTCTACAGTTATTTAAAGTGAATCGAGGCATCACAATCTGTACTCAACAAGAAGGGTTTAACAGAAAGAAACTCAATAGAAAAGATTTTTGTTAGAAAATGTCAGTCTGGTCTAACAACAGATAACAGACAGATTTTTTTCTATATGGGATTTATTTTTAAAATTTTAGTCCCTTATATTGAAGGTATGATTGGTATCATGTCATTCAACAATTTTAGTTTAAAATCACTTCACTCCAGACATTTTTACAAAAATTACAAAAAATTACTACTTTGCAGCTGATGTCATCCACATTTTCTGGGGGTTTAAAGCTAACTGAAAGCACTACTCTTACTATTTATTTATTTATTTGCATACAATCTGACCAGAAAAAACTTGGTTAGAACTACAACAGGTAAGCTGATGTGTGTGATTAAACAAGTCTCTCACACATAAAATTACAGTCACAAGCTAGGTAGCAGTTTTTCAGTTTGTCACTCTCACCTTTTTAGTTGAAAATTAAACACCTAAACAGAACCATGAACACTTATTGATCACAGGTTCCTGAAAATATCTGGTTTGAATGTTTGAATATTTTGTCTTTTTCTTGCATTTTCAGACTATATTAAAATATTTTCAGCAGTTTGTGTGAATTGCATCACCATTGAAACTTGAATATTGCTTCAGTGTGATGTCACTGCAAAATATATTTTTTAAAAATCTAAAATGTCTTAATAATGGTCTTTCTCTTTATTGTTTGTTTGTGGTGTTTTGTCCACCAGGTCACGCTCCAGGTCAGTTGTACACATATCCTGCTCGGTGTTGGCGCAAGAAGAGACGGTTGAACATCCTGGAGGACCCTCGGCTTGTACCCATTGAGTTCAAAATTGGTGAGAGGAGCTTGATGGAAACTTAAAGGCACTGTACCTGATTGTCTTGATAAGTGAAAAAGTGAAGTGAAAAAAGTGAAAAACAAAATTATTTCAATAACAGCTGTCCAAAGTCATTACTCACTTTCCTAACGCAAGCAAATCATCCAAATTATTCACCACAGTAAGTGCATTTAACAACTCAGGGACCAGAGTGGAGATTTGCCATGGTAAAGCAAACAACAACTAGCATGCTAACTGTGTACCTGCTTTACTTCCTGATTCCGAGACAATAAGATGTTTTATAATTAGATGCAGGCAGCACACATTTGCCCCCAACAAGGTGTTTTTACAATATATCTGCACTTCACAAAAAAAATTTTACTCAATTACAAACTGGACAAAAACCAGTTGCAGCCACTTTAACACCAGATATAATAATAATACATCACTTTTATTTAGAGGTTTTTACAGTAACTCAAAGACACTTCACAGTCATCATTTGTGGGGGTTATAGACTCTAAAGAAAAGGTCACTTTTGAGCTGTGTTTTGATGCAGACAGCACACATTTGCAGCCAACAGGTGCTTTTACAATATATCTGTACTGGGCCAAAACAGATTTAACTGAACTACATGGACAAAATTTGGATATAACCACTTTAACACCAGTAAAAGGTCAGTTTTGAGCTGTTTTTGAAGGTGTTTAGTGAGTGTGTCTTTTGGGTCCAGTATTGTCCTATATTGAACTAGTCATAGTAATGTTGTTTTTGTTTCAGATTACGAGGCGTCCCTGAAGAAGGAGGGAGGTATCCCAGATGGTCCAGTGCTGGAGTCCCTTCTGTCGGGAGAAGCCCTTGACAAAAAGGTGGAGACGAAGGAGGAGGAGTCCATGAGCGAGTGCCAGGTCTACATTTGGTCCTTTCTTTGATCATTCACACAACGCCCATGTTCATATAAGCATCTATATTTCACTGTGAGATCTGGAGGGAAATTATAGGTGCCACTGCTGTTATTATTAGATTTATGTTACTATACTACAAAGTAAAAGGCTGCAAGGCTTAAGTTTGTGATCATGTTCTAGTATTTGATTATTGATACTTTGCAGCTTATGTTATCAGTATTCTTCAGGGGTGTGATGCTAACTCTAGGCACTGCTCAGACTGACTGTCTGTTACTGAAATTAAACTTTAATTTCAGCTTTATTTTAACACAATCTGACCATAACAAACTGTACTGTTGATTGTGCTTGTATTTATCACAAGCTCCTGAAAATATATTTAAATCCATTTTGTATTTTTTCTTGAGTGTTCAGATAACATATTTAGCAACGTTAATGTGGCATAGTGTCTCCATGGTAACTGATGAATATTGCACCATTAGCGATGATGTCACTGCAAATTATCAATAGCATAATTTCTGATGGAGGGAAGGGTTCAGTATAGCTCTATAGGAGATTTAAAAACATCCAAAATTAAGATCCACAATTATTCAATTTTATCATTATTTGCAGAGACTGGCTCTGCATACTTGCCATATTAATCTTATTGCTTAAAGTCCTCAATCATAAGTGAAAAATCTGGTCTTTGGGGGAGAATAATTTCTTAAGATACTGTACAAAAATAATTTAAATTTTAGTTTACTAACTAAGAAGACATTTAACTTTTTGTAAGCTTTTGTTTTATTGGATAGGTCCTGTAATTATAGACATTTTAACCATAAACCAGGTATTTGTAGTTTTAGCACTGAATCAGTCACTATAATAGACAGTTTAAGTACATAGGGGGTTAGGTTCTCTTGTTTCAAATGTTAATGCTTGAGTTTTTTTGAGTTCAATCTTTATTTTTCAAGCAATTTTTAATCCAAAAGAAAGTTCAGATAGACATTGGACAAACTGTTGGAAATGTAAATTAATGTTACACAAGCAATATTCAGCACAGAAATATAACTGTATTTTAGATTCATAATAATGTTTGTCCCACTTTATTACATTGACGATTCAGTTTCTTTGTGTCTGTCTTTGTGTCTGTTGGAATGAGTTTTTGGCTGCAACTCTGGCTCCTGCTGCTCTCAAATCTCTTCCAATGTGACTACACAGACTGATAGATCATCCAAGGATTTTTAAATTATCATTCTACAAAATAAAATAAATAAAAAATAAACTTGCATAGACCTTGGACCAAAACAAAATACAATAGGTGCTCTATGTAACTTATCGAGTGGAGGGCCCGCCTACATTTTTGTCTTTATGATGATATAATTGCTTCGACACTATGGTTTTGAACTTGACTATCTCCATGGAAACAAGCAGGAGATGCCACCAGACCAAGATAGCGGTCAGATCTATGTTGAGGAGACTGAGAGGAGACTGTAGGTGTTTACATAATTTGAGCAAAAAAAAAAAAAAAAAAACGGCTAGAATTAAATGAATAGAAGATGGATACATTTAATGCCACACTGTGAAACATTTCTCAGACAAAGTATACCATCCCCATGGAGACAAGCAGGTGGTGGACCCACTACCAGAAAGGTTACACAATGCACCGTTAAACATCGTCTTACAGCTCTCCACCAAAATGCTATATGCTGCTATAGCTAACTTATTTATCAATGCTGTCTGGCATAAAAGGTCAAGTGGAGCCTAATACACTCTCTGTAGCTCAATATATAGATTTGCAGTTATGTTTGTGATCCAGGGCAAGGGCAATGTCTGAATGACCTGATCAATCTATAGTTACAGTATAAAAGGTTAGAGCGGATGTTGTTTTCATTTATATGACCTTAATGTAACTTTAACAATTCCTCTGAGATGTAACTTAATGTAGTGTACAAACACAGTGGAGTGTAGTTTGTCAAATCCATAAAAAAATTATTAATAATATAAAACTGTACAATCTTGCTCTTGGTAACTCTGTAGTTGATAACTTTAACAGAAAGACCAAATCAGATAATTGGAAAGGCAACCCCGCTTAAGTTTAACAAGTTTAAATAGGTTTGAATAAATGCAAGCAATTAGCGGGCCTCCTCTCTGTATATTGTACCTTTAAATTCACATGTTAATTTTGAAATGGATCTTAATTTACAATGCACTACATAATCCTGTGTACTGAACAACATCATGACATCACAGGGTGCAACAGAGCATTTTGAGCTTTGGAGATGTTGGCAGACTAATAATAAAGGACCACTCAAACATGTGCAAATGAAATAAAACACAACTACTGGTATGTTTTTGATGAGGTAACAATATTCATAACAAGCTCAAAGCCCAAATGATTGTAGTGAAGTTGTATGTAGTTTAAAATCACAGTGGAGCACTTCCTGTACTACCACATGACATCACAAGGTAGAACAGAGTGTTTCCTGTTTGAGAGAAGAACTCAGTCTGTGTGTGTTAAACATGTGTGAATGAAACAAAACACAACTCCAGGTATATTGTTTATGAGGAAAGAATATTAGAACAGGTCAGAAAACGGTGCAATATGGGTCCTTTGAAGTTCATCATCTTCTGTTTTTTGTTACACTGCGGTATCACACCTATAGATTTCACAGTTTTGTTTCCTTCATGGTGGTTTTAACATCAATACAGCTCTTGTTCCTTGCGGTCCCATTTGCAGTACGAGAAAGCCCCACTCATCTGAGTATTTTAGCCCTGTACTGTAGAAGCTGCAGATCGTGAACTTGGATGGACAGTTAATCAATCACAAGTGAATGACTCTGGCGCATAGAGAGGCCAGAGCACTGTTTAAAGTCAATAGAGCAGAATACCTCTCACTAAAACACCATTCACAACATCCTGGACAAACTCAACAATAATGAATTTAATGCAGTCTTACATCTTGGATCAAAGACTTAAGGGATGTTTCCAAAGAGATCTTGGTTAACTTTATAGAGACAAAAAGTTGAATGGGTTAAGAATCTATTTGTTTATATAGTTTTTATAGAAGACATATTAAAGGGCCAATATTACGCTATCTTTTGTGTATGTTATAATGTTGTTTTGTCATCAAAAACATACCTGGAGTTGTGTTTTGTTTTTGTTTATCACCTTGTGATGTCACATAATACAGGAAGGAATATACTCCAAAGTTTTTTTTTTTAACTCAGTACATCTTCACTAGAATCATTTGGATAATTTCAGCCCTGGAATTTCCAATATCTACTGAACTGAATGTAAAAAGTAGCTGTTAACTTGAAAACTACCACTACATGACATCAAAAGGTGGAACAGAGCATTTAGAATTTTGGAGATGCAGACAGACTAATAATCCAGGATTACTCAAACATGTGTGAATGAAACAAAACACAAATCCAGGTATGTTTTTGAGGAGGTAACTACAATCTAAATAAAGCTCACAAGAGTCAGTTTTGTGTAATACAGGCCCTTTAATGTATTTATTCTATTATTCGTCTATTTTTTTCAACATGCTGTCTTCTTTGTCAGTCAGTTGTATGTAGTTCTATGTTGACACAGCACTTACTCTGTGATTTGACAGTTTTTTTGTGTCTCGTTTTGTATTTCCTGTCATAGCTACTCTAATAATGTTTTAAACTGAGCAGCATGTTATAACCTCACTGTAAGCCACAAACAAACCTCTTTAAACCTGATTGCTACAGTTGTTGTGATGAGAGACAGCTCTGAGCAGACTTCTCCTTTAACCACAGCAGTGATGGCCCGCTGTGTCTGGGCCCATGGGTGGTCCTCAAAGCACTCCAAAGCTTTCCAGGGGAGTTTCTTAATCTGGCAACTTTAACAGCAGCACAAAAACTGTATACTGTATCACTATTGTACTACAGAAAATCAGTCTAGTTGCAATGATGAAATCAAATATTCAGGCTATTTAAAGGGCCCATATTATGTTTTTTTTAAAATCTATGTTATAATGTTGTTTCCTCACCAAAAATATATCTGGAGTTGTGTTTTGTTTCATTCACACATGTTTAACACACACATTCTGCTTATTTAGGCTATGTTCTCTCAAACTGAAAACTAACATGGCTAAAAGCTCTCAGTTATCAATTTTGTGTAATATAGGACCTTTAAAATATTGTGTCACCCATTTCTGTTTAAATATGTTAAATAAACAGATTTTGATAGGTTATATTTCAATGTAATGGGCTTCCATGGGTCTAACTTAGGATAAAAACAACTAAACAAGGGCAAATATAAGACTATAACTATCCCAAAACCAGGTCATGGTCACTGTCAGGCTTTAAAAGTCCACTAAAGTCGCACTCTCTCTGAGCTAAAATATGGTTCTCAAACACTGGGATACCAAAAGTGTTACACAGGTTCATCCTGGTTTGTTTAAATTCGAGTCAATTCTATTAACATTTTCTCTCCTCTAAGCTTGGACTTGTCCAACTAGTGTTATTGCAGATTTATCTTAGACTGGTTTTAGCAATAGTCAGAACCTGAGTATAGTCTGGTTATGTACCTATATTTTGTTGGTATTTGAAAAGTCAAAAAATGTCTTAAGTCGTAAGTCTTTTTGTTTTGTTTAGTTTTTTATTACATTATTGTTTTCATGCATATTTTAATATTGCTCCATCTTGTCCTGTTCTTATTCATGTACAATATTAGTTTGTTATCTGGTGTCCTGTAGAAGCTGCTGGTTGGGGATTTCCCTCACGAGCTGGAGGTGGACGAGATGGAGGAAGATGTCCCAAAGCGAAAGAACCGCACCAAAGCACGAGTAAGACAGCCCTGGCCTTTATCTCTGAATGTTTGCTCAATTTGACCTTTTCACAATCACTGCAATTTGAGAGAAATGTTGAATCTGATTTTTATTATTGATCTTTTGTCATGAACATATTTATTAAGAATAAAAAATTGGACTTGGGCAGAGTGACATCACCCATAGTGCTCGGCTTCAGTCAAATGAAACTTACAAGGCTAGCAGTTATACGGTCTAATTTGGAGCCGGGTTCCATATCAGGAATTGTAATTTAGTTACAGACAAAATAGCAAAACAGTAACACTAGGATCATCTTGAGTGGGTTAACATTAAAATGAAGAAACCAAAATGAAGAGGCTCACTGCAACAGTTACAGAGAAAGGGGAGACCATTTTTCAATGTAAAGTCAATTGGAGCCAGAGTTAATGGAGCCGGAAGCGCCCCCATGCTCACTTCTTATTTAGAATGCAGCGGTTAGAAGCTTAGTTATGTCCATTTATTCAGTTTATGCCTCCACCACCTGTTTGTCTCCATTTTATCACTTTGTCTGGATTGTTACACAGTATATCTGTAGCGGCCAAAACTTGCCCTGTGCAAGGTCTGCTATGGCTGCAGCGTGTGTGGTGTCTCGGACGCGTGTCTTCAGTAAAAGAGTACAAATACTGTGTTCCTCAGCATTTATTGGCGTACCTTATAGCCATCCAAAAATACACAGATTCAGCACTCAATACATCACAACGACGACGGTCAAAAGACTGTATACCTCCACGGTGCAACACCTGTGTGCACAATTTCCTCCCCTTTTATAGGGCAGGTACTTGCATAAATTACAAATAGCACCTCACAGTGGCAGGAAGTAGAGAGGTGCAATATGGCTCCAACAATATCATTAAACTTATCTATATTCATGGAGACAACCAGGTGACACAACAAAGCGAAGGTACAGATCAGATCTGTGGAGAGGCATCCCCACTCACACTAAGAATACTTTTCTAAGCAATCAAACAGATGTAAGTAATCTAGATGGAGGAAAACAGGTTGCGGACTCAAAACACAAAAATGTTACATAGTGCAAAGTGGACTATTTGTGTCAGTGGTCAAAGGAGTAGAGTAAAATGCTTTGTATACTTAAATACAGGTGCTTAAAATGCATTAAATATCAGTAAAATTTGTAATGTTTTGAAAAGTGCATGAATAATATCAGCCAAGTTTCACTAAATAAAAAGTAATACAAACCTTTTTACTGGCTTTAGCTGTTACGCACAAAACCTGCATTTGTTTTTCTGTTAACTTGAACATTTTACCAAATATGTAATTTTACAAAAAGAAAAAAAAAATAAACACATCATTCCAAACTGATACACATTACTTTCGATCTATGAATACAAAATAAGCCTTGCAATCATATTATGCTGCTTTATAATTACTCATTCCTGTACTGATCTTTCCTGTGAATCTAATCAGATATTAAATTATGCCAACACAACTTTTTTTTTACAACTTTGATTAACTCATGTTGTTTTTTTTTCTTCACTTTTGCGGGGCGTCCTATGGGAAGATAATCAAGTGTTAACAATGTATTCTGGCAGCTTTGGCGCATACACAGACACTGGGGTTGCTAATTGGGGCGGGTGCTCCCCTGCTAAGTGTCATCAGCCTCCTCCTGCTCCAGAGCTCGTGATTAGCATGTACCAGCGACAGGAACGCACACAGCATGCTAGCAACACACACGATAGCGACGCACACAACAAGCTAGTAATGCACACTAGTAATGCATGGTAACAACGCACGCAACACATTAGCAATGCACACAACATGATAATTCAGAACAGCTCGACAGAAGTTGAGAAAACATCAAACTTTATGTGGCTAATGTAACGGAGTGAGATGTGTGGAGGGGTCACATCCCCGTAAGAATTATCTTGATGTTTGCAGCTCTTTGGCAACTTCCTTAGCTTTACTTTTAGAGTTAAACTGTTGGCCTATAGTTTTAAGAAATTATATTGTCCATGGGAAAATGTACATTAGATAAATATATGGTGGAAATATGCAGCAGTCTGAATGTTAAAGTAAAATACAGTTATAATACCATCTTCTTATTTCCTATTTTTGAAGTGTATGTAATAATGCTATATAATAACATAATAATGCTATATAAAACTAAACAAGCTGTGTGTTTATCAGGCCTATGGCGTTGGAGGAATGAGGAAGAGACAAGAGCCGTCCGCCATCGAGGACAGAGACAAGCCTTATGTTTGTGACAGTAAGACACATTTATATTTATATGTACTTTTATATATTTTTTATATATTTGTTAAAAGCTCCCAGACAAATACATGTTAACTATGAGTTAAATGAAAAAGTGTCATATCAGCCATTGGGGAAGTGAGCGGCCCATCAGTTTTTCATTCATACAGTTTGTTCATGAGAAACACTATGGGCCACAAGTTACTTTTACTAAAATGGCATTTTGACTTCTTTCTGTTTTTTAGTTTGTGGGAAACGTTACAAGAACCGCCCAGGGGCTGAGTTACCACTACACTCACACACACCTGGCAGACGAGGAGGGTGAGGAGGAATCAGAGAGACACACACTTCCCTTTCAGCGCAAGAACAACCACAAACGTGAGTCCAAATGCTACCACCATCACAGTCATATACCTTTTTGGATTTGGGATCTGGGTAGGGTTTGCCACCTGCTATTCCCTATAGAGATGTTACCTGAAATGTTCCACTAGAGGGTATTCATTTATTTCTATGGATATATGTGGTGCCATCACAGACTGTATAAAGAAGTGAACTAAATGAGTATGACATCACTCATAGTGTTTGGCTTCAGTCAAATGAACCTCGGGATGCTAGCGGTTATAAGGGCGAATTTGGATCCAGGTCCATATTTGGAATAGAAATGTATTAATAGACAAAATAGCTAAATAAATACACCAGGATCATGTAGAGCATGTTAATATGAACCAAAATAGTAAGAAGACCAAAATGACTAGGCTCATTGTAGCAGTTACAGAGAGAGGGGTGACAATATTCCAAGTCAACTGGAGCCAGGGTCAGGTTGGTTATGTCCATTTATATATGCAGTCTATGGATGCCACCAGGCCAAATTATCTACCTCTGACACCTGCAGTTGTATAATACATGAAATATTTAATGCCATACTGTGGAAAATTCCAGTCAAATCAAAAACATCTCCATGGAGACATACAAGTGGCAGACTCTTACAGCATTTATAGAGGTAACATAGTGTAGCTCAAACTACTTCTACTGCTGTTTATTCTGCAAACATCTGTCAAGTTTGAATGTACTGCTTTTGAACCTTGTTACATCGTTAATTCTGGTTTCTTCATTGCCGAATGTAGTCCTGGTTTAGTCCATCTGTAGATTTCCCCACTGTATTTACCCAGATAGACTCAGTAATTACAAAATAAATAGTTTGGCTTGATCGATCTGTGTAGGGTTGGTGCAGTCATCCTTTACAATCAGAATATTATTGAGACCATTGATTGTCCGGGGACTCTGCTGCAGCTCTGTGGACTGGGTTAGTGCTGATGGAGCTGAATCCAAATGTGCTCTCCTCATGTGGATAGGACGTCCCAGAGGAGGAGAGGGGTTTTAGCTGATTTCTTCACTTTTTACACTTTCTTTTTCAAACTCGTGTAGTGGTGCAGGTGAAAACTGGTCCGAGAGGAGTATGGCTTTCATAGAGGCATGGCTTTTTCTTCGTAGAAAGCTGCACTGGACAAAACGCTGGCAAAATGTAAAAAGTGACTTGGCTGTACTAGAAGGGCAATGGTTTAGATGAGGCATTCAAAATAAACCCCATGGAGTAGAGCTATGATTTTGTAAAGCATTTTCAGTGAATCCACACATGAACACTACGCTACTCTGGTCAGTGGTTGTGTTAGAGCAGAACAGTTTTAGGTTTCCTTTTTTTGAGCAAATAAATTATGTATAGTTGTAGTTGTGTAGTTGTGTGTAGTGTGTGTAGCTGCGTTTAGAAACTTTCACATATGCACATTTTTGAATGCAGAAAAGGTGCATTCATAGTTGTACACAAATCACATCAAAATGACAAGCACTGAACCCAAAACTAAGCCCAAAATTGGGATAGAACAGGTACTAATCAGGCCTACATCAAGACTATACTAGACACCAACAGTGAACGTAATAATCCCCAGTGGCAGGGTAATGTTATTATCTGAATAAGAATCAAGTGTTAAAAAATCCTATAACTAAGCTTTCTGGTAGAGGATCCAGCACCTGCTCATCTCTTTGGAGATGATGTTGCTTTGCCTGGTATGTTTAAGGGTAAAGGGCCCAAGGATGCAAGGGTAGCATTCATTTGTGGGAGCTGGAATCACACCACCAACCTGTGGGTCAATGGATCCAGAGGATCTAACAGAGGTGTTTTTTTTTAGACAGACAAATAATTTATTAATCCTGAGGAAAATTCAAGTTTTCCTGCAGCAAACTGTTGCTGTTGATGTTACTGCCACAGTTAGACTGCACGTCTCGCCTTTGTGTCTCAATCAGATGTCTCAGTGCAGTTTAGCAAGGGGACTGGTCAGGGAGGGTCAGCAGATCCTGTGTCAGGGCAGTTGAGGAGAGGAAGAGCCAAAAGTGCCCCTTTTTTGCATCCTGTAGCATCACAGCAGCTTCCAGGGGGAACCAGACAAACACATCAGGAAAGGCCTCGCTATTACTCCGCTCTAGTGTTCTGGTTGGTGATGAAGTGTTTCCTCTGGAAGATCTTCTGCCACATTTGTTGCCACATATGGTGTAAAAAGCCTGTAGCATCTCAAATGTCCATGGCTAGCTACTTAGCTAGCCTCTTGCACAGTGTCCATGGATATGAGAAAAACAAACTGTTGATTTCAGACAATCCAACCGTCCCTTGTTTTCATTCCTTCTAAGTTAAGTTAAAATTTAAGTTTAGTATCTGCAATAGACACCTGCAACTGAATAAATGTTATAATATAATTTTAATGCCATACTGTGGATCATTTTAAAGCAATAACATAATGAGAAAATCAGTAGCAGCCCCTTCACCAGAAAAGTTACATAGCGTACCTTTAAATAAATCTCACCTAAGTCCTTAGAGATATACAGTATAATATTTTCAGCTGGTTTCCCCCTCTTTGTGTGTCACCTCTTGTCATCTTGTCTCACTGGGGCCTTTCTCAACTATTGTGGTGTTATTTGCACCAGCTGCTCTGTCCCTCATGTGACCAGTCAAAATGTCTGCAGCAGTGAACAGAGCACACTTCTGAATGTAATTTACTTTTGCTGCATCGTAGTGGCTTCCTCCTCGCGCTGCGTCACTCCCACTGGGACTTTTGGCTTTTATATAATAAGATAAACTGCTGGAAGTGGCGGAGTTATTGAGTATTGGCAGACTTCCTGAAGCTGTGAAGTGGAGTAGTGCTAAATCTGAGGGGGATTCGACTGTACAAGCAGTTATATTGTGAAGAGCCACTGTCAAATTATCACTTGTTTTCTGGAATGTTTGCCCAGTGAGCTAGGTGTTGCTTGTGTTAAAAAAAAAAAGAAGAAAAAAAAAGAAGATGCGGTAAGTTTTTTGTTTTTCTGGTATTTTCTATCCAACTCGTCCTCATAGATTTTAAAGGTTTAACATGTAACTTTCTAGACGATTCTATGGAAATAGAAGATTAAAAGTACACTGAACATTCTTCATGGAGATATGTATGTTTTATGCCATACTGGGGGAATATTGTAGCCAAAGCAGCTACATTTCCATGGAAACAAACATGAGTAGGCCCTTCTCCAGGCCAAATAAGGCTCAGGTTTGTGGAGATGCAAGCCCACTCAGAGTAAGGATGTTTTTTGTGTTTCAGTGCACTAAAAACATCCATAATGAAAAATATTATTTTATTTTTGTCTAATTTTGCACATTAGGCTGTGGCTTTAAGTATGGACTAAGTACATATTTATGGGTTCGGTCAAGTGGTTACAGAGGGAAACGAGGCAGATTTTTTACATTCAAATGGCTCTTATTCAGAAACTAGAGGAACTATTGAAATGAAAGGTATCAGAAGGTAGGAAAGAGTTAGCACTCCAACAGCCTAAAGTTAAACCTGCAATATTCTTTCAAGTTGTTGACAAAAAATTAAAAAACTCATGTCGGTAACGGAGGGAATGAAATATGCAGCACTTTTTGGGCAATAAATACAAACAGCAATAACTAGCAGTTCTCACTTACATATCCTTAACAAACTGGTTTGAATATTTGCTTAATATAGTTTTCTACCATATGGTACAAGATTAGGTTGAAGATTTTTTATTAAGAAAGGTCATGGTAACGGAGGGAAAAGTAACGGAGGGAAAATTGTGCAAGCAAGTAGAAGGTGCATGATTTTGCATAATTTGTCATCTTTTTTCTTCCGAATACTTTAACATTACTTCAAAATGAAAGGAAACTATTTCTATAAAATATGTCAGTCCTTCCAAGCAAATTTTTCATAATTTTAAATACTTTTTTTTTTTTTTTTAAGTTCAAACAGTTCAAAGATTAAATAACACAAGATATGATGAAATACATCAATTTATTTACATGATTTGCAGGTCTTTGAAATTTGGGAAATAATTTTTGTTCCATGTTGCATACAGGGTCTGTTTAAAACGTATGTAACTTTACAACCAAAAATGGTACAGAAAAAAGGTAAATAGTTTCATAAACTAGAGTACATATGCTATCTGTTGAATACATTTTTATATCAGATGCATTAAATTGAATTTTTGGCCTTGCTGTTTACTTCTGCTTGACCAAGCCCATATGATGACAGTATGAATGTATGGAGACAAAATATGACTTTCTTTTATCTGTATCATGTTTTGTTTTGTTTTTTTGTTTTTTTGTATTCCCGGGATGCATCTGTGAGGATCTATCATGAGAGAAAAAAGAAACCATTGGTCAGATCATTTTTCCCATGGACCCAGGAATATCCCTAATTGTGGTTTTAATCTTTGGAACTCTAGTTAGCTGCCTTCTCCAGAATAAGAACAGCAATAACTGCTATTGTAAAGGTCAATGTTCATTTTTATTTTGCAGTAATTGCCCCCCTCACAGCCTCTCCAAACGGACCAGTCCCTACTTTCTGTTCAAATATGAGAGGGTCTGGATAAAACAATGGTCCAGTTTTGACGCAATCAAATTGCAGCCACTTATTTGTAGCATGTGTCTCAAATACAGAAAGCATTCATTCACTGTTTTAAATTGTGGTGTGTCTTTTAACTCTAGTGCTAGATGTCTGCAATAAAATTTTGATTCAGAATGAATAAATCTGTAATTTTTTGAAGTTCATATTTACAGATTTTACAGAGTCATGCTGTTTCTCAGTCCTTTGTATCTTTTTACCCATGCTATCATGTTTGTTTTGACACAAACAGATTATGTACTTCTCTGATTCATAAATATGTCAGTTACGACTATCAGAAATGAGTTGTGAACACAGGATATGGTTCAGTCTTTGCAAAGTTTTGATACTTTAGAGTGACATTACACTGAAGCAAACACTGCAAAATAGGTTTTTAGATTGACTGAAAACTCAAGAAAAAAAATACAAAATGGATGTAAACACATTTTCAGAAGCCTG